TTGATCCCAAATCCCAATCTATGGGCCAAACAAGTGGTCCACAAACCTCTTAAGACACTCAACAAGAGTTTCAATACAAACAAAGACAACCAAATAATGCCAACGATCTCCAGATATGACAACTGAGCCATAATTTGAGTGATAATTAAAATAATATAAAATAAATGGATAAACAAAGAATTGATTAACTTTTGGAAACAAGTTTTATAGAATAACTTGTTTAACTTAGCATGCACACTTTTGCCAATATTATGGCCATTATATGGGGAAACACTTGTGAAGTATTAATAACGCCCAGAATAGTGTCAGGATTTGGAAATCTATTTATAACGTAACTGAATGCTATCATATTATGAGCTATCATATTATGATACTGTATCACTTATCAATTACAGATACTATTTGATCACCCTGACAAATTTATCACCCTGACAAATGTTTAAGGGTTTCTAAAATATGCACAAATTGTCATTCACAATCATGTGTATAATTTGCTAAAGGGACATTCCAATAACAATCAATGGTTAATATTAATATAAATATTAAGGTAAGTAATTTGTACAAGTTTATCGTTATATAATTGAATACCTTATGACAGTCTTGAGAGAATTTGCCTTATCATTGATGTTAAGAATCAAGTTTTCTACTTTTTGTTCAATTTATAAAAGTTAATTCACCAGGGGATTTACTTTTTACTACAATAGGCATCATATTGGCTTAACATTGAATTAATCATATAGTGATTCAATGCTAACTTTATTTCTCACAATCAATAACTGGTTTATTTTGTTGAAATATACAGTAGAATTAAGTACATTTACAATCACAAGTACTAAAGTCATATTGCATAATATTATTATAATGATAAATTAATATTTAAATGCAATTTAAAAGTAATATTGTATAACATTTAATAACAATTTGTTTGACACCACATGAGACTAGAATTGAGTAGAAATGAGTTAAATATAATCCGTAAAAATTAAATTAAATTTTAGAGACAACAAAATTAGACAATTTTAAAGTTCATTAAAACTTTGGTAATTAAAAATATTTACAAAAATTATTGTTATTTTGGTTAATGTATGACTAGTTGTGTGACAAATCACTCAATCTTTGAGTTGATTCTCATGTAGTATTCATCTCTCGATTGCTTCAACACTTTAAGCGCTAAGTTAGCGGTGAATCTGTTTCCGCACACATATGTAAACCACTCAATGATATAAACAAGTAGTTTGTGTTTCCAATGACCGAAAGTCAGGGTTTCGATGCCAACGGTGTTGATGGCGGACGAGACAAAGTCCTCGGGAGTGACCGCAAAGAATGACGATCTGTGAGAGCCGTGCAATAGCTTCGTCTTAGTCATCGATGGCATCACTGTCTGTATTGTCACGCCTTTGGACTCGTACTCAACGGACAGGCCTTCCGACAGGAATGTAATGAACGCTTTGGCTATCATTTGAACAAATCATTCATATGCTTCGTCTTAGTCATCGATGGCATCACTGTCTGTATTGTCACGCCTTTGGACTCGTACTCAACGGACAGGCCTTCCGACAGGAATGTAATGAACGCTTTGGCTATCATTTGAACAAATCATTCATACTTAGTATGACTTCAGACACGGATTGGCATTAAATGGTGTATTACTCGCGGCATAAGTAGTCATGAGAGGTACCGGTGCTAACGCTGTCTGCGACGACACGTTGATAACAATACCGCGATTTTGTTGAACCATTTTTGGCAAAACTATTTCAATGAGTCTTATATACGAAAACATATTCACTTTGAAATACGTTTCGTTCATTTGGGACCCGATGTCCAGGAAATAGTCGGCGCATCGGCTAAGAGTCCCCACATTGTTCACCAACACATCCACCACTTCCACGCCATTCAACTCGCGAGTGATCTTATCGTAAATGTCTGTACGATTGAAGTCAACGGCTATTATCTTCACCTAAAGTTTGTCCACAAGAAGACCATAAGAAGTCATGTCTTAAGTGAGATAATAGTGAAGACAAACC